TTTGCAGGCTATGGTTTCTCAGCCCCACACATCACTCCCTGCCCTTCGGCTGCTCCCAGCCCCCAGGATCTTGCCTGCCCGGCCGAAGCAGGCACACAGTGAGGGTAAGCAGGGCTGCAGGGACACGCAGGTGACAAGGTGTCGGCGCTGTTGGCACACCATGAGCGCCAGGTGCATGTAGGAGGGTGTGATCACAGCCCTGGGGAGCTGCTAGCATGTTTTTATAATCTTGACCTTTCCAGTTTCGCCAGCTCCTGCTCTACAGAAAACCTCCCTCCCCCCCGACTGCCCCAGGACACTCACTGTGGATCCTCCAGGACACTTGCCTCAGGGTCCCACGGCCACTGGACCAGCTGCTTCGCAGGAAGGGGGAAATGGGTCCAACCATTTAATCCCCCAGGCATCCATTACCACCACATGCAGGCAATTGTAGTTAATGAGCACCAAATTAACAGAGCTGGGGGCCTTGTCCCACCTGGTCCATAGAGCTCTGGGGTGCTTCTGGGGGTGCAGGTTCCCACAGCAGCCCCAGCTAAGCTGGCAATCCCAGCAGGTGAGGGGGACCCCAAGGGACCCTGATACACCTCCACTGCTGTCAGAAGAGCAGTGGGGAGTCGATGGCATGCAGGCAGAGCTGGGGCTCCGTGCTGGGGCTGGGGGTGCGCCAGCAGCCTCCATGGGACAGGCACTCCCAGACCCCCATGGGTTTATGGGGTGATGTGACCCTGGGCAGAGAAGAAGGAAGGGGTACCCTGGGCAGAGAAGAAGGAAGGGGGTCCCTGCGGAGATGGACATCACCCAGCTGACCCTCACAGCCACGGGAAGGCAAAGACCAGCCTTCCTCCTTGTTCCCACAGCACATGGGGGTTTGGTGTGGGTTAAGGGGACCTGCAGAGGATCCGTGGGGCTCAGCGAGGCTGGAGCAAGTGAGCCCTGTGCCCTACACCCCACCAGTACCAGCCCAGTACCATCCCCGCATGACTGCAGCCACATGCTGGGAACTGGGCAGTGTGTGTGACACTGTGACAGGAGGAGGAAGGGGGGGTGTCCAGCACCTCTGCCTGCGTCCATCACTGCTGACTCGGGCCCAGATGTGAGCATCAGGCAGGGGCAGCCCTGTGTGTTTCCCAACGCAGCCACCAAGCCTTGCTGCCATCCACCCCACTGGTAGCCGTGACCTACAGATAATCGTTGATGATGGGAAGGAAGAAGCAGGATGGACCTAACAGATGTTAAGGAGCGTGCTAAACCTTGAGGAGGGAGGACGTGAGAAGCGTCACAATTGGGATGTAGAAGAGATTGCCCTGGTGACAGACACTCTTGGGGAGGGCTGGGGAGAATGTCTGCTCAGAGTTGGGGGGGTTTTGCTGCCAATTATTTGGGTTTAGGGGTAAATCCCAGGAAGTGCAGAGGCATCACAAGCTGGGCAGTGAAGAGTTGCCCCACACCTCTTGTCCTGGCATAGCGGTGGCACCCCCCCATCCTGCACCAGCGAGACCAACCCACTGGGCTGGCATTGTTCAGAGCTGATCCTGCCACAAAGCTGGCAGTGACCAGGGTCCAGGGCATGGGTGAGGGCCACATCTACACAGGGACATCACACCACTGCTCACACGGAGTGGGTGGGCTCCCTCCTGGCCTCTGAGCCCAGCAGGCCAGCAATAATTGTCACAAGAGCCATCAGCATCGCTGTGGTGCTGAGGCCGGGCTCGCGCCTGTGGGTGGCTCTGCCAGCACAAAGCGAGGGCAGCCAGCCCAGCCCCGTGCGTGCCCCAGGATCACCCTCCCCGCCAGCACCGGGTGCATTTCAGCCCCCCCCGGGATTACTGCAAACAGCAAATCAAAGCACACACTAATTTATCCAAGGAGAAATGCCTAGCACATTTCTGCAAGGTCCTCTGCCCGGTGGCAAATCCGTGGCCTCCAGTTCACCTTCTGACCTGCCCTTATTCCCTCGCTCTGCCTTTAAACCATGTGACAGGAGGATTTGGCTTAACGTGTGTTGCTCCAGAAGGAAAGGAGGAGAAGGAGCTCAGAGGGCCCGGAGGTAATCGCTGGCTCCCTGCCCGCAGCGCAGGGGCGTTCCTGCAGCCGTGGGGCTGGATTAAGGCGGGCGCACACCCCGGTCCTCTCCCAAGCCCTGCTGCTTGCTGCTCCCCGCGTCTCCGAGCCCCTCCGCGCTGATCAGGGCAGGTGGTTTGCAGAGGTTTGGCATTACAGGAGCAATCCCTCTGCTCTCCCCCTCCGTGCTGCCCAGTGCCTGCCCCATCCTGCCTCTGCGCTGCCCTTGCTCCAGGTTGGATGTAGCTCCTGAAACTAGTGGGACCCTCCCTGCATCCTCTTCTCTGTGCCCCCAGGACCAGGCTGCACTGGTTGCACTGCCAGGAAGAGTTGGCATCTGGCACAGCTGTCCAGCAGCAGCTCACGGGGCCCGATGTGTGTGTGCCAGCCGGCAACATCTGCCCTGGCCCCCCTCCCTGCAAGCGACTGGGCATGGTGGGCAGGAGGGGCCAGCTGGAGCAGCTCAGCCACCCTTGGGGGGGGTTGGGCAAGAATTAATTAACTTCAGGCTGGGGAGATGCGGGAGGGAGGGAATAGATGCACACAGGGATCCTTTGCAAAGCCTTGGGGCTCAGGAGGCAGCGAGCAGCGTGGGCGCAGGTGGTGGAGGAGGACGCGGGTTCGTGGGTGGTGGAGTTGTAGGGCTCTGTCATGGAGGTACCTTGAAAAGGTGATTTCCAGCCGGAGGGATGGACCTGCCTAGGTCACCCCGACTCCATCCAAACTCATCTGTCTGGGCTTGCAGTTCAGCAGACAACAGAGGTTTAACCTTGCTGTCACCAGATGCTTGGAGGGATCTCGGAGAGGAGGCAGCAGCTGCTGCAATGGGCTGGGGAGGGGGATGCCTGCCGTCACCCTGCCTGTCACCCTTCCTGCCACCTGTGGGCCCATCCCATCCCATCCCATCCCCATCCCCAGAGCACACACAGACACGAGCTGAGGCTGTGGGAGCAGTCAGCTCTTCTCTCCGAGAGCCCAGGGCCTTGCAGAGTGCTTGGGGGAGTGCACCTGAGGGTCACTGTACGGGACAAGCCCCCCAAAACTGGTGTGTCCATCTCCCAGTGCAGAAAATAGGCTGCATGAGCCCCTGGCTGGTGTAAACTGGTATTACATGCCTGTTGTGGAGCAGGTACCTGCTGGCAGGAATTGCTTTTGAAAAGCTTGTGCCAAATGCTTATGAATGGCTGCTCCAAAGCCAGGGGACCTGGTCACCGACTGGGTCCCCAACACTGTCCCCCGCAGCCATGACTGAGTCTCCAGCCAGTGCCAGTCCCTCAGGTCCCCATCCCAGTGAAGGGTTATTTTTCCTAATATCAAATCTGGCTTTTCATTTCTGCAGCTTGTGTCCTTTGCCCCCTGGTCCTGTCCCTGTGCTCCCCAGGGAAGGGTTTGGCTCCGTCTCCTCCCTAACTTACCTTCCCCCAGATGCAGGTGGGCTGTCCCCATGGCTGCTCAGCCCCCCTCTCCCAAACCCTCCACTGTCTTGTGCCCCTTTGTGGGCATTTTTCTGGGGCTGGGACCCCCTGGTATTTAGGGAGCCATGGGCAGGAGGAGTTATCACCGCCCTGCACTCACATGGGGCACCATGTCCCAGACTTGTCCTTCCTCCCTGAAAGACCCCAGCGAGCACATACAAGGGTGGGCTGCTGAAGGGGGTTCCCTGAGACCCTCCCTGCTCTACCATGTCTGGCTGTTACCAGCCCTGGTCCTGATGCACCGCCCTGGGGACTGCGGGAGGGATGGGGACAGAGATGGGGACAGGGATGGGGACGGACAGCTTCTCCACGCAGAGCCATCCTGCCAGCTAAGTGGACCCCCGGTCTCACTCTGGGCACAGGCACAGGGGGATATTGCACGTCTGCTGGTGAGACTCCTTCCCTGGAGCGCTGCTGTCCCACCAGCCCCACACCCAGGGGACTGTCCTGCCTGTCTGGTCCCGCTCATGCCCAGGAAGAGGCTGTGCCACTGGTGAGACATGGCACTGGGAGCCCGGGCACTGGGAGCACCGGAAGGATGCTCGCTGAGGAAGATGAGGGTCTGTGTGATGCTGAGAACTGAGCGAGAGGGAGATTGGCTAGAAATATGGCTGGTAGCTCAGTCAGTTTGAGTGTGGAGAACTGGAGAGGTGGGGGGTTGGCTGGCTGATGGGGGGGATGGCTATCTCACCCACGGCCCACGGGAGCAGCAGCACACTGCTATGGGAGGACGAACAGGAGCAGTAGAACAGGCGGATAAAGGGGGATTAAGCTCCCCCGTGAGTGGAGCATCACCCCCGAGCCCCCAAGCCACACTCGGGAAGCTCCAGCTCCATCCTCCGAAGCACCAGCCAGCTGCACATCCCTGGATGAGTCCCTGTCTGGCAGCATCCAGCGGCGAGGTGGCCGCAGAGTGACATCTAATGGCAGTGGGCTGGGAGGGGACATGGCCCAGCAGCCGCCTTCCTCACTGGGGGCTGCAAATTGTGCAAGCGAAGCCCTCCCGTGGCCCCCAGCCCCAGCTTCCCTCTGGCAGCACAGAGCTGACAGGACAGGGGTCCTCCTCGTCCCCCACCTCTTCCCAGGCACTGAGGGGACACCTCTGCCCTCCGTTCTGCAGGCCGACAAGACAGATGCCAGGAAAATGGGGTTCTGTGACCATGGGCTGTCTCCAAGCATCACATCCTTGATCTCCCATCTGCCCCACAGCCCTGTCCTCAGAGCAAGCCGTTGCTCCAGTGTGGGCACAGACTGGCTTTGGGGGATAAGGCAGAGGAGAGAGCAGGGAAGGCATCACAAGCCAACAGGGGGGAGTCTCTGGGTGAATCAGCCCTGCCCAGCCCCACGGTTGCCTGGTTCCTCCCAGCTCTCCGCACTTCCCAAACCAGGGCAATAAAATCCTTCCCAGCTCATCCCAATGGACACCAGCTGTGTGTTGCTCTGGGTTTTATTTCCAGACAGAGGAATAGCTCACAGGGACACCCGGCACAGGGGCTGTGTAGCACCACAGCGGGCAGCACTCTGGTGGCTTTGATGGGGGGACAGAAGGACAGTGGAAATGAAGAGGCTTCCCCCAGGCTTGCACTGCCACCAGGAGATTTGTTTTTCTTCTGGGATTTCACTGCTGGAGAGCAGCCCTGAGCTGTCACAGCTTGCTGGTGCCTGGCACGTGTGGTGCACCACGTGCGGTGGTGAGCACAGACCATGCCCGGCGTGAGAACAACATCCACGGTGGGGAAGGGATGAGGGGCATGGCAGGACAGGAGAGGGGAAAGAGGAGCTGTGAGGGGATGAAGACAGGGCTGGATTGTCCCCAGGGTGGTGGCTGCCAGCTCAGCCGTGGCTCTGCCACCCTGGGGGTGGGGAGTGATGGTGTGGCCTCCCTGGATCCAGCCAGGATGAGGCTGTGCGCTTCCAGCACCAGCTGCTACAGTTGCTCCTGGGCCAAAGAAGCCATTGGCTTAATAACCTCCATCCACCTGGAAAAGGTTAGGGGTTAGCTGTGGAAACTCTGGCCACGGTGGAGTCCACAAGGCAGGGGAGCAGCCGGAGCATCACCCTGAGAGGTCAGCACCCATGAGCAATGTGAAGCCCCTCTGGGATGAGCCTGCAAGAGCTAATTCTGGTCATCATGAGGCTCTGCCCTCTCACCAGCTCCAGCAATAGCAAGCCAAAGCTGTGGTGGCAGCACATAGCAGCCTGGCTGGACCAGATCCTGGCCAGTGTGTGTGAGCTTGGATCCCCCAGCCCCACACCGAGGCATGGCTGAGACGCTCTGCAGCAGAGTGCACCCCACAGACCCCCCCATGGGGATCCCCCAGGAGCTCGGGGTGGGGGTTCCTCAAAGCTGGCCTCACCAATGTCCCCACCTGCTCCTGCTCCTGCTTCCTTCTCAGCTCGAAGGTGTCCTCAGCACCGGGCCAGTTCCAAAACTTTCTCATCCTGGATGGGAGGATAGGGAGTTGTCACCAGTGCTTTGCGCTAGGCACCAGCTCAGCCCAGGGTCCCCATCCCTCCCCTCCTCATCCCAGCTGAGGACATTACCTGGGCCACAGCTTCACAGCCAGAAGGGCCAGGGCAGCCACGCAGATCATGGCCATCAGCAGCCCAGCCAGGACGGTGAAGGCCAGGAGGTGGGTGAGAGCTGTGGGCAGAGGGGAGACAGGGCAGATCCCTGCTGGCACCAGGGATGCCGGCTTGGCAAGACCAGAGCGGAGTCAGGGAGCCCTGCAGGGATGGGGGCTCCCCCTGGTCCTTTCCCCTGTGGCCACAGCCTCAGCATGGCCCTGGTGTGGGACCCTCCCAGCCCTTGGGATTCTCCATGAGAGGTGAAAGGGACCTTAGGGAGGTGGCTGTGACAGCCAGCTGCAGGTGGGGGATACCCCTCAGCACCACTGCCAGTTCCCCGGGGCTGGGGACAGCCCGTCAGTGGGTCCAGGACACACTGCAGGGGGTCACAGGGTGGCATGGCACCATACTGTGACCCCACTGGGACCAGGCAGGGACACTCGCTGCTCCTGGCTGCCCCTGCCTACGTCACTGTCCCCTGTACCAAGGGGGGGGACAAGGCTGGCATGTTTCTGTGTGTCGCCCCAGGCTGGATGGTGTCCAGGGACGGGCAGTGCAGGGGGAGTCACCCGGCACAGCGACAAGCAGCAGCAAATGTTTTGACATTTGTCAAACCCAAGCCAATTCCTCCTCACCTTTTGGATCACTCTGCAGCATTCAACTCAATTTTCTGTTCCCGTGGGCTTTTTTAGCCATTTCATAAAACCCAACCTGGGATGTTTTGGGAGAAAAATCTCCTTGAAAGGAAATACCCCATTCCCGCAGTAAAACCCTCTTTCTTTTCCCATCCGCCTAAAGACTCGTGGTTTATTCATCCCACATCTGCTGGTCATCCCCACTGCTCTGAAATCACCTTTCTGTCACAACTCCCCTCAGAGCCCCCAGCACAGCACCCCAAGGGGGGGGACACCCCCACTCACTGTGCACATCGAAGTAGGCGCCGGCCGTGGCGTTGCCCAGGGGGTTGCTGGCCACGCAGGTGTACTCCCCCGAATCCTCCTGCCCCACTGCCCCGAGCTCCACACGGAGGGTGTTGTGGGAGGGGGAGGCACGGACCCCTGGCATGGTGACAGGGGCCAGGCTGGAGGCCAGGAGGTGGCCACGGCGGTACAGGGCGATGGTGGAAGCTGGGTGGCTATCGGCCGTGCACAGCACGATGCCCACCTGCCCGTTGCGGTTCTCCAGGAAGGTGCTGATGGACACATCCCGGGGGGAGTCTGCGTGGGAGAGATGGGGCTGGAGGAGGGCTATGTTATGGGACCTTCCCTCCCAATACTGGCCCAAACCCTCACCCAAACCCTCTCCAAGGGCTGCCTACCGCACCCCTCCTCCAGTCCGGACCAGCTCCAGCCCATCCAGCCCAGGGTGGTTTCACACCTTCTCCTGCCCTTTGTTTCCCCCCACCAGCTGGAGACAACCCCCCCTCCAATCTGAACTATGTTGGCTCCTTGTCTGACTTTCAAGGGGTATGTGCAGCCACTGCTAGACAAAACACCAACATCTTCTTTCCCAGGTCCAAAGGGAGAGGAGCAGGGCAGGGAGAGGAGGAAGAAGATGAGGAGGAAGGCCCCCTCGCTACAGCAGGACCATGCGAATGGGACGCATGTGATGCTCAGCTGGATGCACCCAGCATGTCAGGGGCCCTGCACCCCATCCCACCCAGTGTCCTGTCCACGAGGGGCTGGGGGACACTCACAGAGCACGCTGAAGCTGAGCGTGGCTGAGGCAGAGCTGCCCCTCGTCCCACTTGCCCGGCAGCGGTAGGAGCCGGTGTCGGTGCTGGAGACACGGGTGAGGACAAGGGAGCTGGCTGGTCCCTCCTGCAGCCACCGGCTGTTCTTGTACCACGTGTAGTTGGCCTCTTCCCCCACCCAAGGGATGGCTGAGCAGGTCAGGGTGGCTGTGGTGCCTTCGGGGACTTCTGGCGAGGGATCAACCCTGATTGTCACCCCTGAGGAGGAGGAGGGAGGCCGAAGAGTCAGAGGGTGCCCAGGGCTTGGGTTTGCAAAGGACAGAACCATCCCCAAGCCCCCTGAAAGTCTCCCAAAACCCACGGTCCCACAGGAGAGCAACCTGGGGTCCTGACATGGGTCTCACCATGACCACAGCTGGGGGCTGGCCTCACCTCCCATGTCCAGGTGCAGGGACGAGGACACGGTGCCGTAGCTGTTGTTGGCCGAGCAGATGTAGAGCCCTGTGTCCCGCAACTCCAGCCCCCCCATCTCCACCCGCAGGGAGTTGGGGGCCACCTGGATGGTGAAGCGTGGGTCGGCTGGGCCCCACGTCGAGGCCAGGGGTGTGTGGCCGGGACCCCGATGCAGGGCTATGTCGGAGGGTGGGAAGCTGTCAACGGTGCAGAGTAGGACGGCCTGCTGTCCCCCCCGGGGCTCCACCAGGGAGATGAAGGAAGGCTCCTGGGGTGCATCTACAACGAGAAGAACAGCGTTTTCCCCCCTCCCGGCCTGTCCCAAAAACAGCTCTGGTGGCAGGGAACCAGCCAGTGGGGTTTGGGGCGGGGGGATGTGGGGGTGGGTGACAGGTTTGCTGCTGGCTGTAGGCTTGATGGGGAGAAAGGGGTGTGATGTGAGGCCAAGGAGCACCGGGGACCAGCCGGGGCAAAAGGACATCCCGGCCGGTGGCAGGATGTCACCAGATGGCGACATAGACCGTCCTCCCACCCGCGACACCGCCACGGCGACATCCCTCCCGGGCTACCCTGGGTCCCCTTTGCCGGCAGGACCCGATGCCCGCCCCTCTCTCTCCCTTCCCCCCCCCCCCCCCCCCCCCCCCC